CGTCACGCGTATTTTATACTATTCACCGCAATGGTGGGCCAAACAATGGTCGCTTGATGCATTAATCAACAAAATAGTTGCGGGAATTAAGTTCTAGCGCAGGTAGGTCTCCAGAGGTAAAAATACTTGAACTGGCTACTACAAATATAGAAACACTTCTGGTTTCATACTTCGGTTCATCACAAATCCTCCACCGCTGATCATTGCTTCTTTGAGCTCCGTCAAGTCCCTAACAGGAGGGACCCAAGCGTAAAGTTCTACTCCTGTTCCACGATCTGCTTGGTCGCCATCTTCTGTTGATCCTGCTGGTCCTGGCTTGCCTCAGCAATCACAAAATATACTACTCCAACTCCCACGGCCAATTCCTTCCCCATCTGACCAGCAGACTCGGTTTCTCCTCCTCTCTAACCCCGCCGAAGGAAGAAGGTTGACCCAAACGAGGCAGGACAGTATTACAGAAGGAATGATTGCTCCAACTAATGGAATGAAGTGGTGAAAAAAGGCTGAGTGTTGGGATGAAGTGGGAAGAGTTTCGAGGAACTTAAAAAGAGATGCGGATAAAAGAAGAGAATTTTCGATCTGTTCAAGGACCTGTATCTTTACGTATTCTCGCTGTATAAAAAAATGTGACAGACCTTCATTTGTTTTCCTTTATCCTTGTGCATTTATTTCATGTTACCGATAATTTACTCCGAAGAAAGCACGAAGAGAAACAAATTATTAAACCGAAATCCTCTTTATATTCTTCACATTATTTATAATATTACCAGTATCAGCCTTTTTTCTTAAAATAGATTAAAATGTCCTTCCATTTCTTACTATTCCTCAAATACGCAGTTGTTACGTTTCAAACAGTCGGTAGAGTTTGGGGGCGAGTCTCTGCGTCTTAATCAGAACATAATTACACCGTCATTATTAGTCTTACAGTATAACGGTAAACTAATAAACGAAGAAACAAAAGCCAATGTAGAATCTACTATCAAATTACATATAACGTCTCCGCTCAAACCCATCGCTTCCTCATTTAAAAAACAGACTATGATAAGCTACCATCTGAGTCATGGCATCGTACAGTTTAACTCGACACAAATTCTAGCGTCACATTAACTTCAGTCCCCTTCTCTTTCGTCCTGGCTTTTGTACTTCCCTCAAATTTTCACTGTTCTTCTGTCTGGAGGGGCGAGTGGAGTGTAAGTAGAGGACTAGACGCGGGAATCGATAGATCGCAGGTTGCGACAGCCCAATGGTGCGTGCGAGATATAAAAAGTGGGGAAAACCAGATAATTAGTATGGATATGGTCGCCAATCAAAGTATGAATACAGAAAGAAGTACCAGGTTATTTAACGACGCTGTTTCACTGATACAAATGAAAATAGAAGATGATATTGAGTTATAAGTAGGTATTTGAAAGGAGACAGTCATGGTTTATTTGAAGGTACTATCCTAGTATCCACGTGGAGGGACAGATGTTGCAAAAAAGGAACTTGTCAACATAGCTCGACAGAGATTTTAACTAGGTACCTCACAGTTATAGGTCCAGAGTGTTGCCGCTACACGAACCTATATCACATCAAAGATTATTTTTTTACGAAAAATTATGTATATCTATTTGGCACAGCAGTTCGTCGCTAATAACTGTAACAGCCTGTGAATAGTAAGCCTAAAATATATCCCTAGTTACAAACATAATTATAGTGTAGATGTGAAAGATTTTAAATCTTTTCGTGTTATGCTTTCAAGGAAAAAGTACGGGATCAGGTAGAAAAATGTCGTATTGCTATATAAACGAAAGTTTTTCTTTCTTTCTGAAAAGAGAAAAAAAGTTTGGTTATGAAATCGTGAAATAACTTTGTTACGAGTGGTCGACGCTGTTCGATAAAGGAACGGGGCTCGACTGTCGACAGACGGCATTGCTTTAGCTGTTTTCTGCTGGCGGTAGAGCAAGACGAAGAGGAGGATGATGAAGAAGAGGGGAAAGAAATGGCGACAGCCCAAAACTGCCTAATCTCAAGGTACGTAACAAGATTTTACCATTATCTTCCTTACCTTCGAGCAATTAGAACAACTTAACAGTGCCAGGAAGCTGTAGTAGGAAAAATCTATATAGTGGCAGTAGCAGTAGCAGTAGTAGTAGTAGTATTAGTAACAACAGAAATAACGATGTACGTATATAAAACAAAAGAGGGTTGTTTGAACACGGCAAGGAAACAAAACCGACAGTACAAGGTCATAATTACATTTAATAAATCATTTAAGAATGTTTCAAAATCCGTCTCTGGAAACAACACAACAGAATACAAGTGTAGATTTCGGCAATGCTAGTTTGTATTACCATTGCTGCAGATTTTATTGTTGCGTGTCGAAAATTCATAATTGTATCTAACTTGAAGATTTCTCTCTTCTGGGTTGTTGCGCCGTGTAGTATGGTAGATGTCATCTGGGCGATGAATTCATCGCTCTGATGACGGAGGCAGTATGACCTCTGAAACTTTGGTAAACATCTACCAGACTACACGGCGCAACAACCAGAAGACAGAAATCTTCATACTCACCGCTGTGAAAACTTCAAATCATACATGTATCTAACTTACAAAACGACGAATATCACGGCGTACAGAGAGACTTAAGTCTGCGATTTGTTTTATATGAGTCTCTTTACATTGGGTCAGAAAATTACAAGTATTTGAAAGCTGCCCAAGAAAAGAAATATTTGGGAGAAAACAAAAATAAATTGAGGAAGTCAGAATATTAGACCCATAACTTCGTGATTTGTACAGGAGACCAGTATTGTCAGGTAGCATAGTTTAAGGCGTTGAAGGACTGGCACTAACCTCTTCCATCGGACCCAGCAAAATAGACATTTCCATCCGAAGACGAGAATAAGCCAGATCCCGAAAAATGGTGGTCTTGTTTTAGAATATTTAACGATGGATCGAGACCAGGAAAAGAGCAACACTGAATGTTTGACCCTTGTACATTTATATTACTCAAAATCACGATTATTTATTTGCCTCACTAACAACTTTGAGGACTATGGATTTCGTGGAACTATTAATAGGCAACATAATCCGTTGACAACCGTTTGTTCCTTGAATCATGAACAATAATTTTCCCACTGAAAACACGCGACGTTCAAATCAGTGTGGATTTCTCCTAATGATATGAGAAAAGCATCAGAATTCTTCGTAGTCTCGAGTAAGTGAACCACATAATACGCTATATAAGTATCATAGTTCATCAAGCAAATAAATTAGGAAGAACAGCGAGAAACTGTAGCTTTCTAAGCGGCAATTATCATGTCTGTATACTGTCTAGGCACATGCAATGCGTATAACAGGAACACGACAGGACTATAGCATGAGATTGTGGCGTAAAACTTTATTACTCTAGCAATCTACCCGGAGTCACTAAAAGTTTATAAAAATATTACATAAGACAACATATGCGTTTTATTGATCATTATACATTTTATTCGAGACAAATCGAGATTTATCAAAATCCGTCGACAGAATCATACTTCCTGTAAACGGTAAAATGCTACATAGGCCTATAATTAAAATACATCTTAAAAAGAATAATAATTAAGATACTCAACTCTCGGGTATGTAGTTACTTAACATTACTTTTCAGTCAGAAACACTCCGACTGAACAACGTTGTTGTTCAATGTCTGGACTATTCACAATAACAATTGGACCATTAAACAACTTTTCACAAAGAAATACATAGACCATCATAACCTCCGCCATCATCATTAGCGTCACCACCACGACGAACACAATAATCAAAATCACCAATTTAATAAGAATCATAGGAACGAATCGTACATAGAATGTACATTGAACGGAATCTATCAGGTCTGCCTTTCATCAAAAACATTAAAGACTGTCTCGAAGGCCCGATCTGCTGTTGAAGGATGGAATGAAGGAGTCTGATTATATGTGACTCGACAGTGTAGGGGCAAGAAGCAAATCGTAGTGAAGCCAAGCGAGACCGAAGCTCCTGGCTGCTTGATTATCCGTCTCTTTGAAGTTGCTCACTGCCTGTCTCGACTATTCCTTGAAATATCGCGGTTTTCCAAGCGGCTAAGCTTTCAACAAATATCTTTCAAGGAACGTCCTTTGAATTGAAGCCAGCAGCAAACATCACGTATTCCTCCACCTATTTGCTTTTCTTGCATCACTTTATACTTTTTCTTCAACAGAAATTTATCACGTTTTAAGCGGAAATGGTAACTACAGAGACATATAATAAAGTAGGAATACGAAAATTTCCCGCGACAATAGAAGCTCGGTCTAGGTGTGGATCTGTCCAGTGATAGAAACGGACGGACCCAACTGAGTAGGTACATTCCCTCTCGCCCGAAGAAGGAAACAGAGCCAGTTTCCGAAACGTCGTGGTTTCTCTCTTAAACAAAGACGATGGACAAAGTAAAGAGAGCAAATAATTTAAAGTGTGATCCACCATCGTTAGAACCCTTTAGAATTGAATGCAGTCTGCAGTTCAGGAAACTTACACAGATAATTGAGACGGAAAGATTATAAATGGACGTCATTCTAGTAAACGTTCTTGCTAAAGAATGACAATAGAATAAACTGAAAGTGATGATTTGCACAAAAGGCTGTGACAGGTCAACTTGTGTTTCCGTGCAAGTTCCCTGACATATTCTACGATACAGACACTATCAATGTCGAAACACATTATCGAAGTAAACTGTTCAGTTTCTTTTGAACCAAAATGTGTAACCTGAAAGATATTTATTGGAAAAGTGACAAGTGCGATCTTTTCTTAAAATTCGTCTGGTATAAAAATGTCGAAAAAAATTCGCTATATATATAGGACGAATTGTTTTATCTTATTACTGAGCTCCATAATTTCAAAGAAATATTGCCTTAACATTAATAAAATCAGATTTCGAAGGATGGATTTCCCTTCGCCTTGAGATAGGAAGGGTATTCAGCAAACAGCTTTAATTGATGTAAACTATTAGTTCCCTCAAACTTTATATTTTGATGCTTAGAAATTTGGGTTACAGACTACATTCATTACAACAGCCAATACATATTCTTTAAAGTTAATAATAATAGTAATATGGTTGTCTTCTGGTATGCCTATTAGCTTTATAAATAATTCCGATGATCAACGTTTTTTTTAATTGTGGCTTTGTTTCGGAACAGTTCCATCCAGTCTTCAAGTAAAACACGTTGCTCTTCTTTGGCATTGGCCAAAGTGGCATTCTGGACTGATTGTTTGTGCAAATGACCACCACCGCACAGCGGATCCTCTTTTCAACAGACCTCCAATTACCCGCTTGCATTCAAGTTGGATGCTGAACATTTAGGTCGCCACCGTTCCGTGTTTTTTGTTGCGACCGCAGACACAGAACGCTCGTTGTCTGTACCTGACAATTTCGCGCCTGTGCAGAAAATCACACGCAGTTTGTACTGACTTACGTACGAAAGGTGAAGCTACCTTCGTGCACAAGTACAACGCCATGGAGAAATGGAAGTACAGATCCACGTATTCTTTACTTTGACAACTGGGTGTACGTCATCTTCACTCCCGGAGAAAGAGTCATCAGTGCCCATTTCATAGGACACTGGGTGGGCCCCTGAGTCGGTCCGGACGCGTTGAATCTATAGGGGTTCGAATCCCGCGTTTCCACTTCGCAGCCAGTCACTGTAGTGGGACTGAGCTGACTAAAACTGAAACTTAACATTTCCATTGGCAGTAAAACCTAACGTTTTCCATTTCCTTGCATGTAATGTGTTGAAGAACATAAACTAAGCGAATTAAAATAAATTCAATTAATGGGCATACAGCAAAATTGGGAAAACTTTCTTAAAATCAATAAGGCGCTTTATATTCTTTGCAAATTAAACAAATTCCAATTAAAATTAATATCATTTACAGAGTCATGTAAACAATTGTCCTTATTGAATCTTTTTAACAGCATCTAGAAAAGAATAATTGTGATAGAATACCTTAAATGTTTGAACAGGTAACTAAACGTAAATGTCTTTGCAACGTAATGAAAGGGAGGTTTTAGACGACAAAGGGGTTGTGGGTGGGGAACAAGAATCAGAGTGGGTGAAAGCAGTTCCCTGTGTAATTTAACACAAATTAACAAACGACGTAATAAACGGCGTACCCATTACAGAAACGCCGATGTAACGACATGAAACCACATCACTCGTAAATTGGCCCTCTGTATGAAAGCAGTTGAAATACTGTCACTACGTGACGTCATGAAAATACATTTAAAGGCGGAAGAGACAGACGTTGTCCTTGAGTGGTTGTTTTGCTCCAAGTTATAGCCTGGTCCACAAATCAAGGGGTTAACTTAGATCACGTCGTTTACTTAATATAATTTTTACAGTGTAATACTTTCCAATACGTCCGTAGTCAAATAATGCATGAGTCATCATTACATATCGACAGTGATTTCTTCCCGCGGTGAGGGATTAGGTCGAAAATATAAAAATTATATATGCGTATAGAATTTACTGGACATCATCCACTGTTTTGCTAATGCCGTGCTAAAAACATTGCCTTTTACTAATAAATTTCGAATCGTTGAAGCAATCTTAATGAAGATGAGTACTGCCTGACCCGCAGCCATGTTTCAAAATGTCCTCCTTCCGAATTGGCATTGCTGATTTAATTTCACACACCGTATGTAAGTTCATTGTCGCAGCAGACCATTTTATGCGAATAATTTCTCATTCACTGTTGGGAATGAATGCCCGAATTGTGGACCTGAATTCCCTGTAAGAAGGCGTACATAATAAGACACGTCACAACTGATAGGAGCCCAGGCGCGTGAAGACAGCTGATAAGTCGCACAGCAGAGAAGCTATCAACGCGTGTTTGGAGGGTGAACTTAAATCATGTAATTTGCTGAAGGCTACTATAGTTCACATTTGACAGTCGGTCTTCTTTTTATCGCGTGTTAGAACAGTCAAGTACTTTATTTGCGCCTCGTTCAAACCATGTTACTCTATTTACTCGTAATCCATCTTAACGTTACACTTTTATCTATTTCTAAATCATTCAAGTGATTTCTTCCCTTCGGGCTCTCCTACCAAAATTCTGCATGCACATATTTCAAATTCGTGTTATCTGACCTGCATGTCTCATTATCCTTGATTTATAATATTCGGTGAATAATACCAAATATAAAGCTCTTCATAATGTAATTTTCTCGATTATCCTGTCATATTATCCCTCTCAGATCCAAGTACCGTCCTCAGTACCCTAATAACAAATATTTTCAATCTGTGTTCCTCCCTTAAGTAACAGATCAAGTTTCGCTCTCATAGAAATAAACAGGTAAAATTATAGGTTTTTATATGTTAATCTTTGATGGATCTACAAAGGTACACTGCAGTCTGTCAATACGATATTTGCTTTTGTGTTAGCAGAAAAGATGATGCAAAGAGAATGCATAAGCATCAGAAAAAATCATAAAGGCAAACTAAAAAGACATCGAGTTGTGTTCAGGAAACCTGATGTGACCTTTAAATGTTAAGTGCTTCCGGTACGGCAACCCTCCAGCACCGGGTCCCAGTCGCAACCTCCTTAAAGTTCCTGCTCCCTTTTTTTGCTTTGATGACAGACACATGCGACATTTCCGTGTCTTTCAAATGCTGCAGAATCTTTTCGTAGTTTATAAATTGTCTAGGTCAGTGGTATTCAACCTTTTTTGTTCGCGTACCCCCAGATATAATTTATCTTCAACTTTGTACCCCCAAAGTTGTTGGTGTATAATTCAAGTTATACATAGTATATAATCTACATCTAAAATAAACAGTTTTAGGGAAAACGTTAATCCCGCCCAATAGTGTCCAGCCAGGTTCCAATAGCTGTCCAGATAAGAATCGCATAAAGGAGATAGAGAGAGAGAGAGAGAGAGAGAGAGAGAGAGAGAGAGAGAGAGAGAGAGAGAGAGAGAGAGAGAGAGAGAGAGAGAGAGAGAGAGAGAGAGAGAGAGAGAGAGAGAGAGAGAGAGAGAGAGAGAGAGAGAGAGAGAGAGAGAGAGAGAGAGAGAGAGAGAGAGAGAGAGAGAGAGAGAGAGAGAGAGATGGCGCTCCCAAATCGAATGTCCTTACGTCCGGTTCTCCTGTGGCTAACCCTAAATCTGGCCCTGATTATTCAGTGTTTATCATAAAATAATATTTTTTAAAAAAAATTCACGTACCCCCTAAGATGTCTTCGCATACCCCCGGGGTACGCGTAACCCAGGTCGAATACCACTGGTCTAGGTATCCAGTTTTATAATAAAAAGTCATAATAAAAAATCTTCATATATGAATTATATTCATTATTTATACATTAAAGAAAATACCATTCTATTTTATTTCGATGTATTATTGAAGCAATGAAACCAAAATGTACACTGCTTGTAGTTGTCTTAATTTAAAATCATCGCATGCATTTGAGATATGAGAAATACGCACGAAATTTTGATTGGAAAACCTGAAGGGAAGATATTACTCGCAAAACACGAGTGAATGGAATGATTACGCTTATATCAACATAGACAATTTTTCGTTTTGAGAAAGTATCTTCAAAAGAGACAATGTTCTTGCTATGGCACATGGCTGAAGGACTGTCTTAAAGTAATGTTCACGATGAATCTGTTTTGTTGAAACATGAATGCTAGCAGCGTCCATGTTGGAACTGAGACTGATTTTGCTCTTAAAAACATGAATAAGAAATAAAGTACTGAGATATGGTCTGAAATAACGTGTTCTAAAATTTAAATAATTCAACATGAAGCCATAAATAAACGTCATGCCGTTCCTTAAGACCATGAATTCAACAGACATGGCTCATTTTACAGTACATTTACAAGAAATTGCTGTTGAAAGTGCGGTGTTCAATTTCTACATACCGCACCACAGCAGCCTTTTCACAGGACTTGCAAGTGTGGCTGCTGCAAAGAACAAAAGAGCGGGAAGGAGACCCAAGACTATTCACGTTTTCTTCAATTCTTCCCCACTTTATACGTAACTGGATTCTAATTTTTTATACCTTATCTCGCAGCCTCCTTTGTCCAACTTTTCTCCACATCCTTCTCAAAATCTCCCCTCGCTTTTCTCGACCATTTCTCTTTCCTTTCTTCTATGAAATCGTATTGGCAACCAACTCAGGTTGTGGGGGGGATTGGTGCAGATACGTCCATCTGTGTTGCTAGAACACTACCATCCACACACTTGAGCTGATAAACCGTTGACACAGAACCTTAATCGTTATTCGATGTTAAGGGACATTAATGTGTGAGATTAAAAAAAAAGGAACTTATTTTTAAGAAAAGAAGAACACTAAACTCTACACGTGCGGTTTGCACTAATACAATAAAAATATTTTTTTAACGGAACGGCTGATAATTTTAGCTGACTATGCAATTTTATGTACCCTCATTGAATATCAGATGACCTGTAGCTTGGTATTTGTAACAATGATTTACATACACACTAGATTATATTATTAAATATCTACTCCCTGTAACAAGGCATGTCGATTTCTCCTCGAATAGCTAACGCACGTGTCGCTTGTTCCCATAAACGAGTCAGCCAGCAGCCATAATATCACTATTATGTATGACACACAGGCAGCAATGCTGAGGGCAGCAGAGCGCTGAATTATGACGTAACATCGGCTACAGTGAAGTATGATTTACTGCTTTGACAGACGAAGTACTGGTTAGCAATTAATCTAGGAAACTCCCACCGTCTGTCCACTGAAAATCTTCCCCAGAAATATTCAATGCTACCAATAATTCGCACGTTTCTTATAGATACTCTACTATTCTATGTCGACATTTCGGCAACGAGTCGAATGAAACTACTAAATTAGCTATAGAGGTTCGTACAAAAAAGACTCGGAAAGCTGTTATTTATCTGCCAAGACACGTGGTCACGTGATACGAAGCAAGGCAGCCATTCAATGCGATGAATTAACTCGATCATTAATAACTGGATGCCAGTGCATTTGACAGCACTAAGCAGACCGCGCTCTGTTTGCGATCAGTCACTTTTAGAGCTGTGAATAATGAGCTTCGATCGTTCGAGACATATCACTCTTCACAATCTTTACAGTTATTATGGCTAGCGTTGAATGTTTCAGTAACTATCCACACGAGATTCCTGGTTCTTACTTCGACAAGTTTGAATATGGCCGTTTCCTATGATGTTGTCGTCCTCACGATGTAGGCAGGAAACACTTTTGAAACGTCGGTCAGTATCTACCAGACTACACGGCGCAACATTCCAGAAGAGTCATCTTCAACTATTCAGATGTTCATGACAATTTTTAAACATACACAAATATTTATCAGTATTATCCACATAAATAGTTTATATTATCAACAGTAACTACATTTTAAGCACATAGAGGGGAGTCCAAAACAGTAACTAATATTCGATGGATCAGCTTGTCCAGGAATTTGTCATCCTTTATTTAAACGGAAAGCAGAAGAGAGAAATTGTGGCTTAGCAGAGGGGGAAGACATTGTTTCCAAATGTAGAATCTCCATTCATAGTCTCATATATTTTCCGGGGTCTTGGATCTGTTAGCCAGAACGTGCCATTGACTGAATAATGATACAACAAACAACTGCGACCTAGCAGCTTGGCCCTTTCGTTGTTACAAGTCAATAAACACGAAGGTGGAATTACATGAATAAGTCTGCCATGTATTTATTACATCTGCAAGTAATTGGTTGTTACCTAATGAGTAACACCCAGACATCTTCTGTGACGATTTCGAAGTTCCCTACCGACCCTAAGCAAGTCTCCTGAGCTGAGACCACCCACAGGGCAGATTCTATTACCCCAGTGGTAGGGTGACCATGAAGATGGCGACCGGTGGACGAAACGTGCAGTAACGTGGGTTTGGTCCACGGCTGTTTCTGGTAAAACATCGCGTTCCCAAAGTTTTATATGTAACAGAGGTGGACACTTCTTTCTGTGAAGCATGAATAAAACAGATCTGACAGAACACAGAACTCTTCACATAGCCCACGACTTATCCCACGACCATTAAGTCTGTACGTGTAATGAGTAATTTTATTTGCGCGATTCGGCTCAACTGTGTATTTTAATGTGTTTATAACGTCAGCTTCAATATCAGGATACCCCGAAACATGAAATAAGAGCTTTGCAGAACACCAACTTTCCATATTTATGGAATATCATTAATGTAGGCAAATACATTACAGAAACGTGATACCACAACCACGATATAACATTAAAATTTCTGGAAAAAATGTGCAGTTTCTGATGAAAAATTAAGAACCAAGTAAAGCTGTTTTTAAAAAAAATGACTCGTAAATAGCTTTACTGCAATTTATACAACATGAACCAAAGTAAATTACTGTCAGAAGTTATTTAAAACTCGCACCTGTATGAAGATTTCCGTCTTCTGGGTTGTTGCGCTGTGTAGTCTGGCCGATGTTTACCAACGTTTCAGAGGTCATACTGCCTCCGTCATCAGGGCGATTCACCTTTGAAACGTTGGTAAACATCGACCAGACTACACAGCGCAACAACCCAGAAGACAGAAATCTTCATACTCACCGCTGTGAAAAACTCAAATCTCACCTGTATGTTAATCTCCTTTATATTTCTTATATAATTTCGTTACGATGCTCAAATACATTTTCTTCACTCCCTTATCGGATTGGTTATCTTTCTCAGTATCAAAAAAGGACGTAATGATGGACAAGAGAATATTCTGGAGGAATATTAGAATTAAACCTTACAAGAAAAGCGTTAAGGAAACATTAACCTGTTAAAGCCGAATGGAATTTTTATTACCTGGTTTAACGTTCAATAAACATATTGCCCACACACCGTATTTACAAGTAAAATATTATTCTCAGAATAAACAGATATCATTTCTTGAAACAGCATCAACCATTTGATCTTTGCAATGGAGAAGTGTTGTATTTTCTTTGTCTTAGCTGATGGAAAACTGTTCTTCGCCAGATAATATTTAAAGATACGTTCTAACTACTGGATTTACTTTTTCAACATGTCTGTGTAGACTTCTAGAAAGTGTACATAGACCATATTTTATCAAAAGTCTAATACACAAATGTTACTACAGAAGAAATCAACTAAAGAGACGGAAATTCTGTTATGTTTTGACGTGCGCCGCGTAAGAAGAAGAGAAGAAAGCGGAGATATTGGGTACGTGAATTTTTTAAAACGTGAAACGGACTAGGAACGTACAACATATTACTGAATGATTTAAGATCAGAAGAAGGATCATTTTTATTCAGTAATTATTAACGAAACTGTTTTGAAGATTCTGAACTCTCCGCGCAATTATTTAACGGAAATATGTTCCTTTCTGAAATGCAGTGCCAGCCCACGAGACATTGCGACAGTCCTGAAGTGCGTTGCCACTGGAGACTCCTACAGTATTCTCAAGCTACGCGCAGAGCACCACAACAATCAGTGCGTAACATGCGAAGCCTTAATAAAAGTACTGGCGTTTGCGTAAAACTTGTTTTGTCTACATATTGAAACAATGGGCACAAAACAAGCTATCTAGATTTAATTTCGCATCACATTTGTCTAGTCATTTAATATGTCTACCAAGATAGCTTTTGTCTAGCTACACGTTTCTAGGGGGAAAATCGAATAGCATAAACGAACCTTTACTCTCCATTTGCAGTCGCTGCTTTCTTAACGTAATTACATATAAAAAGATCGCTCGCTCACTCCCTAAATCAGAGAATATGTAAGAAAATATTTTACGGAACTATCCTCAATTGCACTTTACCTCAACCCCATACCTTAAATTTATACGAAAAACTTAAACGAGAATCCTCAAGTGGATTAACAATAAATAGTAACCATTAAGAAATACAGAATTGTCTAAATTGGGTTCTGAAAGATGAAACAAGAATTTGAACTGGCCAAGCTAAGTAGCTGCTGGAGCTTATTTGTCTTACTATTACAATGTTGTTATATAATTCATGAAATGTTACCACCCCACGAATAAATCTAGTAACCACTATCCCATCAAGCCCTTAATTTGTCTCCCTCTGTGGTCTAAAGCGCTTAGAGTCTCTCTCCCTCTCTCACATATAACTTACCTAGTAATATATTTTATTCCGCTTTCGGACTACGACGACGACGACAACAGGCAGAGTGATAATCTGCAGGGCCAGCTTAAGAGGTCAGTCATAATCGTGCCTCACACTAGCCTGCAGTTTGTTACAGTGCTGCCAACACTTTGTATTTTAGCGAAAATTGGCGAGAATACGGCAAATACTAGGCTTTATACAGCTAAATTTCGCCCAGTTGTTCTAGTGAACAGTGGCATGCTGACAGTTAGCCTGCAATACGCCTATAATTGTCGATAATATTCTTCTGGGTTGTCTCGCCGTTGAGACTCGCAGGTAGATACCAACGATTCAGATAAACACGCTGTCTCCAGCTTCAGGGCTATAACGACTGTTCACATTTCTCCACACCTCTTAACAGCATCCTTTATCAGTGGAACTAATTATAGCACTGTCCACGAGCTGGATTCGGCTCACCGTCGATTTCTAACCGGCCCGCCTAAGTTTTGAAAGTCTGTTAACCCTCGATTTGGGATTTAACATTTTTAACTGTTGGTAAAACAAACTTGTTGTAAAACATCACGGCCCACAGCCATAAAAACTAGATCGAGCCCGAGGCTACTAGAAGGTTACACGTCTTCACAAAGGACAGTCCTCTCTGAAACTACGACAGTCGCTCAAGATATCAAGAAATATTCCGTCTTTTATATGAACCGACGGTTTATTATCGTGGATTTGACCATGAGCCAACTGAATCCAGTCTACAGATATTGTTTCTTTTGTATGCACTTCAACATCTTACTATGCAACATTCTCCATTCTCTTGTTTAATCCTCTCCTTAACTCAAATACTCTCCTCAGCGTCCTGCCTTCCGAAGCCCTCGAAATAAATTGTTTCCCTAAAGCGAGAGAGTTCGTGTTTTGTACACACAAAAAATAACGTGTAAAATACAGTCTTTTACTTTTAATCTGTATGTTTTCAAAAGGATTACACAACTGTTTGACGTTGTTTAAGGAAATAATCGCTATTTTCCGGAGAATCATACAAAACACATAAATACAAAATGAAGAGTTACTGACTGTTGAAGCAGGCGAAAGATATAGTTACCATTGGGCAGCAAGGGTTAATCTGCTCTGTACCGCCTAGTGAATTTAATTTCGATTTATTTTGTATGTTCAAATACCTGACCTTTTGAACAATAACGGAAGGATTTTTTCAGCTATCTTCGATTATATTACGAACTTACATTCTAGCATGACACATGCAACATGTATACACAGATCAGAAAAATATTTTCAATAAGGAAAATACTCCGTTTGTAGCAACGAACCACACTTTGCAAACAATTACATCCTTCACATTCATACACCACTGCTGCAAGCAACTTTCTGGATATCTGATCGTACGTGGACATGGTCATTATCACCCCACAGCGGCGCTGTTAACCGTTGTCTCCCTACTCTCGCGTGGATCAAAGGGTCTGAGCACAACAAACCCACTTCCGGCACAGCCTAATTACCCCTATCCTCTTCCATGATTCATTGTCTCGTCTTTATTCACCCGTCATCATCGTCTTCCTCTTCTCCTTTATCTCAGCGTCCAGAAACTTTAACTGCCTTTCAATGTACTTCGATATGATAAAACTCGAGTAAAAAGTAAGAATTCCCCTGTTGCTTAACTAAACACCACGAAATGCAGACGTGTGGGGAAATCGGGGTTTGCCTCCAAGCATTCTTAACTGTAGATTCAGATGAGTGGTCAGCTTCACCCCGGTTGCATACTCCCAAGGAAAGAAACCCGACACCCATACGATAGGAAGCTGGGTGGGACTCAAGGCCACCCTGGTCAATGTGGATTCCGTCATTACTGACATTTTGTTAGGCAAATACTGGAGAGAAAAATGAGTAGCGCATTGGCTGTTTGGACAGTGTCATTACTCAAGTATAACTTTAGCATAAAACGGCAAACACAGAGGTAATAATTAATTTAAGATGACCCCTGAAACGTCGGTAGACTTCTACCAAAGTACAGGACGCAAAATCCCAGAAGACAGACAGCCACTCAGCTAGCCAAGAAATCCGCCACCATTCACAGATCCCAAAGGTGTCCTCACAAGAGTCCTCTAACAGACGCAGTACCGAGTCGCTAAATCCTGCCCGCATCCCTTTAC